CATCTTTACTATCTACATTGATATGTAAACCTTTAGTGAGCAATTCTGGTACAAATGGCAATGATGTCTTACCGTAGAAGATTAAGATTGGTGGCATAAAAGATTTTGAATTTATCTTTTCTAATTTACCTATAGATAATATTATTAACAAGACGTAGATTTACATTAGGGGTTAAATGGAATTCGTACTCAAATTGTGTCCTAATGTAATTTAGAATATACGTTATAAATTTTAATTTTAATTATTTAATTTAGTAGTTGGTAGTTAAGTTAATTCTCCACCCATTGCTTCTAGAGGTATTTCCTATTATAAAACATATAGTTTCACTAAAAAGCACAGATAATAGCGCTAGTTTGTTAGATAGAGATTATAAGGTAGTCTTTGCCCTGTAATTGCGGATTGCTGACTGTCATGGCATATACCTATTCTAGAAGAGGCTGAACTATCAGTGTCTGTTAAAGTTTATTTCTCTTTTCTATCTCTCTTCTATTCTTTATACGAAAACATGTTTATTATCAATGAATATCTGCAATACCTATACCATTTTTTATACATTATTTTATTTAGAAAAATATTACATGTTGGACATTGTTTCTCTTCGGTTTGGTTAGTAATTATATTTAAACTAAATTAAATAACTACATTCTTTTTTGCCTATAAAAAATAACAATTTAAAAAGAAAGTATTTCCAGTTTAACCAACATTATACTATAGTCCCTTCGTTCCCATATTCTTTAGAAATAATGTAAACTTTACGACGTACAATGGAAAAAATATATAAATCCATAATTCACTAGATTCCGGTTTTACGGCCACAGTATCGTTCGTGGGAAAGTGCGATTGGAGTGACATTTGAATTGTGAAAGTCGCCCACGGGTTTTTTATTTATTTACTAACGGTAGCCCGTGTAAACACGGCTTAAGCTGCGTAGGTGCTGTAGCGATGTTACCCGCCATTTCTGTGGATACCATAGAGTAATTACATCTAGTCACTTTTTTTATTACGTAATTGGAATGACAAGCAGATGGCCCAATAGTAAGTGGTACACGTTGTCTAGATATATGCATAGCATACTGTTATCAAATTATTATATGATGCTTGTGTTACCACTCAAATTTTCCCGTTCAGAAGGACTAAGATGCCATCCGCCATCAGCCTCTGTGGCCTGTAACTTGACAGCCTCATCTTACCCAAATATCTTACAAAGTAATCTGTTTGGTTTCTGAAATAAGCGAAACTGAGGTAACCATACTGACTTTGTGGTATTTTGTTGTTGAGTTTCGTTATACTGTGTGTTTGAATTATCATTATCATTAAATGAATTATTTCTGTAAACATATTATTATACTAATAAGTGTTTATGTTTGGAATATACGTATCTATCACAAGTCCCACCCACATGGCGCACATGCCAAAAATTATCAGAGCGCACCCCCACGTAAGGGAGCATTCGCGAATCGCCCTTTTTGCCAATCAATCGCGACATCGACTCATGATTGGTTACCCTACACGTCCCAACAAATAACCAGTATAGAATTACCCCTAGTGTAAGAATCAAGTAGTGGAATTTTATACGTATTATCTAGGGCGCGGGAGGTCCACTTTGTTTGGTCGTAAAACACATATGACGTAATAAAAGTTTTATTTTCCCTTGATTTCCCTCGTTTCTCAGTTCCCGTAGGGATTCAGCCAATCAAATTTAATTCTCGATTGACGTTTCTGCGTTCCAAATTTGAATTGTATTTTTTTAATGCGGTGCCTAATTTTCGTAAAATAGATTTTATGCCAGATAGGTTTGTATCAGTGTGAGAGATTGTTGTTGAGGTTGAATCGATAATCGATTAATTCGATAAAAATAATATTCTTGAAACAAAAACTCGATAATGTTTTTATTTATATTTATTATATACATTTTATACCTAATATATGAATAGTTGTAAATGATACCTATCAGGTAGACGTTAAGAATCACATTTTTGAAACGGAAAACGCATTATAATGTTGTAAAATGTGTTTTGGAGGACAACGAAGATGATTGCAGAGGACCAAAAAAGTCCAATTGTTTAGTGCTTCATTTTTTATACGTTTATATGTATGTGGGTGTTCGATTCATTGTTGTCGAAATTTATTGCGTTATATAAAATGTATAAAACGGAAAATAATACTATTTATAAAATTAATTTATAAAAAATAAATCGGTAGGTACATTTTATTCCCCGAGGGAATTTCACAGATTTATATTTTGTTTGTTGTTACCATGAATCAACTTATTTTTTTTTACTTTTTTATCTTTTATTTTACATGAAGCATTTTAGTACAGATAATTAATTAAATTAAAAAACGAATTACATACAACAACATGTTACTACTATAACTACACTACCCTTACATACCTATACCTTTGCATATTTGGTATTTATATATAAAAAAAATGAATTTATGTGTTGCAGTTTTAGATGTTTTCTATTACATTAAAATACATGTTTTTAACAAAGAAATGTCAGAACGAAACCACTGGTCGAAACTTAATAGCTGTTGGATTTAGAATAAAAAAAGGACAAAGACGGCCGGCGTTAGATCACCTATGATTACGGAGGGTTGCACCCCCATTACATTAAAATTCTGAACCCTTTCGGCCGATTCATTATTTCTAAAACGCACCTACGTGCTCCGGCATTCACCTCGCTCAATTTTTTTATTCTACTCTCCTATTATTTTACAGTGTGACGCGTTACTTATAGTTGTGTACTAGGGTTCAATAATTTTGATACTTTCACCGTAACCTCTACCATTTATTGTATATTTATACTGCCATATTTATATATCTATTTATATACATTAATCTTAATTGTTGGGTGTGAAAATAGATATTATTATGTGTTAATGGCGTAATACTTTATTCTATATTTAATATTAGCTGTGCTGTGAAATTTATAGTCTATATGTTATTCTATTTTATAAGCTATATGTTCAGTAGTTTTTGCATGTAAGAGTAACAAACATCCGTACTTACAAACTTATTATTATACCTTTATTCTCGCCGTCGCCTACCTTTTTTAGATGAAAGATGGTCTTTCTACGTCCTCGTGATACAATCTATCTTCAAGTCAACTTGCATTAAGATGTGTTCAGCAGTTTAGGCCTAAAATGGTAATAAACAGACAGATACACTTTTGCATTTGTAATAAAAGCATGAATCTGGATATTTACTGGTAAATAATTGCCATAGCTTATAGACGCCTAAAATATTGGTGAGTGTTTTCGAATTTTATGTATTTTATCGGGACTGAATTTTATAAATATTAATTTCTCTTTAAAAACTGATCAATTGAACTTAAGAAATATTCTATTATATCTACTATATATATCTATTATATTTTTTCTAGGTTATTTAATAACGGTTGTCTATTTTCATAGACTAGGAATTGATATGATTTATTTATCGAATACTTGACTCAGAAAGATTTAGATCATCGATAAATTGACCAATAAAAAAATCTATATCAACATTGTTATTGATAGGTATTTTAGATTACATAAAAACAATAAATAATATTAATACAGTGGTTTAAAATACTTTTAATAGCCTATACCTATATATTTATTTTATAATAGCAATCAATTAGAATCAAATAGTATGTATTATTACAGAAGATGCTGATGTTTGCAGCAGACATCTTGTCAGATAATAAACGGTTTCTGTGCCTCCGGACATTAACAATTCTAGATATTATTATGTCTCGTGAATCTTGTTAAAATTACTAATAATATTAAATTTATAACTGCTTCTAAATGCAGTTATAAATTTGAAGTACATCATAATAAGTCATTATGGAATACGACTATTATACTTATAATAAAACAGCTTGTTTGCCATTCGAACACAGAATTGATAGTGTATATTTAGTACTAGCTTACCCGCGCAACTTCGTCTGCATTACACTTACTTGACATTTATCGTTATATTTCGCCCAATGTACATACTATCTTTTAAATTATAGCCTATGTGTTATTTTGATGTATAAAATCTATTACTGGAAAGTTTCATCAAAGTCCGTTCAGTAGTTTTGGCGTAACAATTTTATACAGAGATAAAAAAAACTATCAACCTCTGTGGATCGTTGTAGACAGCCCCTTGAGTCCAATGCACGGCGTTGCCACCATGACGTATCACCTCTGAATATTAATTCAGCGTTTAATACCGATAAATAATAACAAGCAAATGGACCTTTGTATTCGTTACCTTGTAGCCAGAGGTTTAGCAGAGTCCATAAAGTATTGTTTTAAGTTTTGGCAGAATAGTCAAAGTCCTTCGCATGTTTATCTTTTTTTAACATATGAATAGCATATAGGTTAGGATTACATATATCATCATTACATTACATCTTCGAGGTAGACTTTGTAAAAAGTTTTCGTGGGTACCTATGTCTCACCAATATCAGCTGTCAAGCAGCTTGCTTTATAAGAGTAGTTACAGTTAAAAGCTGCGTCCATCAGTGACCAACCATCAGGGCGCTATCAGTTTTTTAAAAGGTCCTATATATATTTAGGAAATTTTTTTGAAAATTTTTCCTACTTGTATTAAAGATCTTTATTTTATTTAAAATAAATTTTAATTCGAAAAATATTAAGACAACTTTAAATACACAAACAAATGGTAATTAAAGACGGGTAGGTAATAATCATTATTAATATAGAGAAGGTCTTTACGAATATCATTCAAACGTTTTAAATTATGTAATAATAATGACAACAATAAAAACTCTTTTTAGAGGTCAGAATTTATAAGTTCTAAAGAACACTACACATAGATTAGGGCCGCCTTATGGTTTATATCGATTTTTTACAGTAACTCTTTCGCAATTACTGACGGACATGGACATATCTTTATTTCCCTAAATATTCTGATTTCCCAAAGGAGGTTAGTACTTTTAGTAAAAACAGGTAAAGAGTGTAAATTAGACAGAATTAAATATGACAATAAAATGTGACATCTCTATAACTGACACGGTAATATAAAATATATTTTATTTAAAATTAAAAATATGTGACTTAAAATACCGTAACTTTCATGGAAACCATAAAAACGATGTCATCTAAGGAAGACTTGTTATAAAGATAACCAGCCTTCAAATGAATCATAATTCAGCCGCATTTCTGATGACATATGACCCCAGACGCATTGAGGAACACACAGACAGTTCAGATTTTGAAGAACTCGCTGCACCTGTAAATTTCAATGGAATTTCAACGATTGTATGTAAAAAAATTGCTAGAAAGCGACCTAAAATGAAGAAAAATTTTAATCATCAGGGAAATAGTCAAAGTTATAATAAAGAATATACAGGTGACAACGATGGCTATAACTTGTGTAGACAGCAACAGTATAAAAGTAATATTAATATCAGTGAAGTAAAAATAAGGTGTAACAGAAATAGTATTCACAATTTATGTTATGGGAACATTTTGTTAAATAATAAAGGCGATCATTATAATTACAAAGAAGTAAAACAAATTAAATCAAAATGTTCCTTGATGCGGCATAAATTAATACCATGTTTCTCTAATATCTTCAGTCGTACTAATAATAGCCTTAAACATATGACTACCATTGAGGAAAACCGCGTGAAAAACACATGTAAAGATACTGGTTGCCAAGCGTATTGTGCCTTGTGCAAACAGAAACAATTGAGGAAACATTACAAACAAGAACAAAGTTATTTAGTTCAACCAGTTTATACCGTCGAGGGGTGTATAGAACCTGATGCAAAAATTATCTCTTATTGGCCAAAACAAACGGGAATACCGCAAGCTACCATTAAGATTACTAGAGATATATGTTCTAATACCAGTAATAGCCTTACATCACTATTTGTAAATAATTATGATCAAATGATTCCTACAAAAGTGCAAACTTTTAGAACGGAACATAATGCAGTGGAGAAGGGATCAAGACAGGTCAAAAAGTATCGGAATAATGTTAATGAGCAGCAATGTTTAAGAAAACAAAGGTATCAAATATTTTCAACACCTGATGAAGTTCAAAGCAGGGCAATAGGTAGTTCTACTCCATATATTGTGAGCCCAACACAAAGCGTCGCAATATCAAATTCATCTGCATTTTGGGAATACGTTTTTGACAAAATTAATAAACGTTACAATATACAAAATATTGACATAAATAAAACGTCTTGTAGTAATAACACTAGTTCACAATATTGTTCAAAAGACTGTAATAAAGAAATAGATTCTAAAAATGTACCTACATTTTGTTCTGTAAAATGTGATATAGGTAGTCCTGATTCCTTATTTACTTGTAGTATTCCACCAGCAGAAAGCACTATTAACACACGTCTTTTCAAAAATGTACCCGTCGTTTCTTCATTGTCCTCCTTGCAAGACAAAAAGGACACAAAACCACGACATATACAATGTAAATGTTTTCCGGATAAAAATATGCCGAAAATAGCAACAGAGACTACGTCGTCACCTATACCAACGAACGATATAAACAGATCATGTTTAGAACCACATGATAATATTACTCAACAATTAGCCCAGAACTATAACGGTGAAATCCTTTGTGTTCATAATCCACCATGTGTTTTGATTCATGGTTGTCTTAATTTGCCTCCGTCTAAGGTACCAACAATGCCAGCCTGGTCTATGACTCAGGAAAAAAGGTCTAGTTTCTTCCAGATGTATCACAGATTTAAGAACCTAAAGAAAAATAGTAAACAGTTGACCCAATATAAAACCCCATTGATTGAACAGCAGCAATATCGTATAGAGGAAAACATTAAGAAAGGAACACAAAGTGTAAGTAATCATGATCCTCCGTGTGAGGTCGTAAGACGTTGTTACAAACCTAAATATGATTCAAAACTCGAAAATTCTTGTGTCCACGTTCCAATGTGTCAAAAAGTACCTGAATGTTTGTTAGGTAATGAAGAGCTTATAGTTACGTCGTGTCAGCACAGGCCTAAATGTATAGAGGTGCCAGTGTGTAGGAGAAACTATCTTGTATTGACTGCTAAGGACAATGTAGGGACTCAGGTCAAACCAAAGATGAAGATGATATGTCGTCACGTGCCTCCATGTATCTTGATACCAAAGTGTCTGGGGCGTCTTATGAACGAGAGTTATATCCCATATGATGCGATTCCAGGCTGTGGTCATCAGCCAATGTGTGAACTAATACCGGCATGCTGCAGAAAACCATCAAAAATGGTCTCCGTTTACTCGCAGTATCCGGCCCCTTGTCGTATAGTCTAAGACACTGTTCCACAAACTTAATGAGCAAGGTAGGTGTACTACCTACCAAATCAAATAGTTAATGGTAGTATTTAGTGGAGGAAAAATCCTATGTTGACTTAATATGTTTATTTAAACAGTATGCGTATATATTCATAATATTATTTTTTACTTAGCAAATATGGGTGTATATAGTAAGTACATTCATAACTACGATATTAGAATGAATAAATTAAACATTGAAAACTAATTTTCGAGTCTGTCATTAGGTATTCGAATATAGTTGTCGATGTCTGTAACGATTATGATCTCTTTAGTCAACTTATTTACATATCGGTATTATGATCGATGCGGCGTTACATTTGGCCTGTAATTAAGATTAATATTGGGTTTGAATCTCAAAATTCTTTTCTCATATCTCAAGTTTTATTCTTTTCTGTTAAAATATACAAGTTAGTGATAAAATATATAGTAAGCCGAAATCTAAATGGAATACTTATAAAACTGAATCATTATCACCAAGAAATTAATTTTTCATATTAATTCGATCATATGACCGTACAATTTGTATGACGATTTTAATTGTAATTTTTAATTGTGCACTTTACTTCTTTTTTTAATACAATCAATAACTTTTAGTTATTGATCGTATTAAATGTTATCATCAAAAAGAACTTTTACAACTAACCTTCATAACAAACCTGTGTACATATATGTATTAACATATATTGGATAGACCTATTAACTAGTCAATACAAAAGACACAAATATTTAGTAAAACATATTGATGTTTATAGATTAAAATAACGAAAACTATGGTTCACCAAAAACAAGTTTTCGTTATTATATTTGTAACGAAGGTATCGTTTTAATTAGTATAAATGTTACAAGTTACTCGTATGATATGCATTACATGATGTAAAGTGAACGGTCAAGTATAAACTGTTGCATACTATAAGTGTCAAAATATATGTCCTCAGCCGTATACAGTATTTTAACTACAACAACAATAATTGTAGCATCTCTTCTCATATTATTAAGATATTTTTATTTTGTATTACGATGGTCGCAATTTAACATACGGTCCATGTGATGGTAAACGGTTACCGTAACCTATGGATGTCTGAAACACCAGGAGAGTCACGTGCGTGTTGACCCTTAAGAAACTTTAATGTAACCGTCTTGAAAAACCTAAGTAAGTCTTAGTTCAATCTTTTTGGGGTCAGTCTTCAAAACTAATAAATTCTGCATATTTTGACAATTACAAGCTATACGACCACTAAATGGTAAGTGGTAACTAATTACATTTGAACAGCATCACAGACATCACGTAGTCAAGTCCACCTTTTCTAGGATTGAGTCATACCTTCATACCCTGTAATTTCTCTGGCTTATCTCATCTTTTAACTTAAACACATATTCCAAAGCAAATTATATGGTATCCATATAGATAGAAAAGTTCTGCCTTTCTTTTTATTATTACCTTTCTTTTTTATTGAGGATTTTGGTCTATTGTCTGGTGCTTAGACTTAAGCACACTGAAAAAGGGCGAGCAGAATAGGTGAATGTAATCATCTATTCTGCTCGCCCTATTCATCTATTCTGCTCGCCCTTTTTCAGAGTCCGCTATCTAGACTCATCAGAGATAAGAATTGAACTATATTCTTAGGAGTAATGGTTTTTATCTCCTCAGGATAGAGTGTAACTTTCCAAAGAAGATATTTCGTTTATACATGAGTAGTCTACATGAGATTATTGAGACTACAAATCCTTCGTTGTGTCACATAGGATGTGTAGTAAGTCCTACCTTGGTTTAAAAAATCCTAATTGAAATAATGTTATGTTCTTCTCAGAACCCTTACAACGCGAGTTCTATTCACACTTGGTCCTATTTTTGACTCATTTTAATCAGTTTCTCCTTTAAATCTTCACACATATTTACTTCATAAAAATAGGTTATTATTTATTTCAGTATTTATAAAAAATATTAAAGAAATAATGTAATGCGCCATTGAAAATTTACAATTTAATTAATGGCAAGTAATTCAATTTGAAATTCAAATACGAGACCATGGCTGGTACGAGTGTATTTTCTACAAATATCTATATCTATATGTGTATAAGAAACGAAATTATCGACATGCAATGGTCACAAAAACCGGCTTTAACTCTATAAACATTTAAAGGCAGGTTAGGAGGCATTTCCTAATCTATAGCTATACCCGCCCGAGGAATTTTATCATTTCAACCGTCTAAAAGTAGAAAACCAGTTGTAGAACGCTTGTAACAAAAAAATTCTTTTGTACACACATATTAAAATGGACCGTAGCCCCTTTACTATTCGAAATATTTTTGGTCGGCTCATGTAAAAAAGTTACGACTTTGTGCCGTTGTTGTGGGTGTGATCAAAAACTAATGAGTGGAGAACGTTGAACCTGACCAGTTTTGGTCTTTGGTAGTTTTTAGGGTTCCCTAGTTGAGTCTATTAACATACAGACGATTGTCTAATAAAAAAAAATCGTAGATACAGTTTTCAAAAAAATATTCCTTCAATTTTTATTCAAGATTTTTACACTTGACATATATGATTTGATGTCAGTAACTGTCCCATATGTAGATTCAGTATTCTGTCAAATATAAAAGATATGGTAAAAATGGCAACGTGTTAAGTCTGCCATATGTACTTTTAATTCTGTATTATGTGCATTAAAATTTTATACATAAATAAATATCATGTAATCATTTTAGATATATTTTTTGTTTTTCAGGAATGACAAACTATGACGAACCGGTGACAAATGTCGCCAAAATGCGTGAAGAGTACGCGGTTATCAAGTGATACCACTGGTACTCATGCGTAACCATTCATGAGGACTAATATGACTTGTCTCCATACCTTTTCATTTCACTGTCATATCTCATATTGGTTACTTGGTTGCTAAACAAGGTGCTGCAACACAAATTGTAGAGATGAGGGTTGTGCTGTGCTTAAAATGTCTAGTATCCTGGTGTTAAACATATTATTAGAAGGAAAACTTGTTTGCTTGTTCTTTACAGAAGAAGTAATAGACAGATTTTAATGAAATTTAGTAAACGGATAGATTATATACCGAAGTAAAACATAAGTTTTTATTGATAATAATGGAATGGTGCACCTGCCTGTGCTAGCATATATGCGTTTTGCACTGGCAGGGCAGCAGTGGGGAATGATAATCAGGGCAGTTAGCCCATCGCGAGAAATTCATAAGAAATTTATTCATGGTTTCCAGGCGAAAACGCGTGGAGGGCAACCCGACACAGTATATTGATAGCAATTTTAAATAAAACATAAGTTATATTTAGCGGAATTCAGGTAGCCACCGCTACGGGACGCAGCTAGTAAGTCAATAATTTTATATGTTCCCATTAGAAGGACAACCTATACCTCTAATGAGTAGCACCTATTTAACATACTCACCCCGTTCACATATCACTCAGCGATACTAACCAGTTTATTATTAACCTTACTGTAAACATTAATAGAGTCACTATTGGTTCAATGAATTAATTTTCAAGAAAAATAGTTCACCGACATTGTTATTAACATAAAATATGTATAGATACCACGATTTCTATAGCGACACAGCCGGGAATTCATATAATCAGATCCATCTTTAACTTTATTATGACCAACTGTGTATGCCTAAGTAGATACCTATCACTGTCGGCTTTATTTAAAATGGCATACAAGTTAAAACACAGGTCCGGCAATTATCATATTTAAACAGCATTTTAAATATTAAAACGGTCCAAGTGTAACCCATCTGTATGCTAATTAAAATTATACGTTTGTTGTTCATCTATTTCTGGCCAAATGCTCATCAGTAAATTGGTGAGTGGAGACACAGTCAGCCGCTGTGTTCATGATCGAATCTGCAGTGCATTCAGTAAAAGTGTGATGGTTTATTTCCTATTTTTATGTAAGTAGATTGGCAATGTAATTGCAATGGCAAATAAGTTAACAATCTATTTACTTGATGGTAAGTGATATATGGCATTCCGACTTTGTACTAGTCTATCACGATAAATTTCTCTACTAAAATGCCGATTTGGCTGTAAACATGTATTCAGCCAAATCACCTTTTTTCAAAGATTTTATATCCCGAAATAACAAACAAAGTAATTGAAACAAAGGTAAAAATAAGCAAAAACTTTATAGAGCTTCCTAGCTCTATAAAGTTTTAGAGATGAACACGTAGTTATATTCTATTCATTCTATATCTTCTACTTAATATGAAAAATATTTAATTGAAGACTGGGCATACTAATATCCTTGTAATGGCATTACGTGAACCAATGAAATACAGAAGGCTTGAAAGACATCATATATGAGATTTTATTCAAAAAAGCAATGTAAAATAACACTTATTAGTAATGCAAATTAAGATTAGTTTCCTTACTAGAGGTATAGTTCTCTCCCGTCAACAAATCTGCTAAAAGCTTGGTGAGTTGATTGCTAGACACGAATAAAAAAAAAAATTGAAGACTGTTGCCTATATTCGTTTGTTTTTATCTCTATACACAAAAATCTTTTATTAGTACAAACCTTACAAGCAAACAATTGTAGAACTTTAGATTTTTTTTTAGTCAACTATCTTTATTAAATATTTCATTGCAAACAAACAGAGAGTCCATATGATAAGCGGTATCCGTTGCCTATATACATGGACAGTACTACGGATATCACGTTATCATATACCATCCAGGCATTTGTGATACCATCCATACGTTGTCTTTCTGGAGGACTAAACTGTTGTGCCTTTTGTTCTGGAATTTTATTGCCCATTTAACTACTTTTACTAACCAAGCTGCTTGGAGGCTGAAATAGGTGAGAATGTGAGACAAAACGACTTTTTGTAGTCATCCACTGGTTCTTGGAGATTATTCATTATTAGCAAAAATATATATTTTCCCCCTGAAATATAAGTTTCGATACTTTCAATCTCGGTCGATATCTGGTTATTTGAAGTTTCAAACAGAAATCCACTTGCGGTATTAATTTCAATATTGTAACAATAATAAAAACGTTTTATATAATTGTTGTTATTGAATAACAATCATATAAAACCTTTTTTTTTGTTCTATTTTATAAATTTCAAAATAAATATTTCTGTGCGTTCTCTACCGATCGTCTTTTGTTTTATTGTTTTGTTGTTCTCTGCATATTATAGTATTTTACACCGGCTATAAATATTATTCATTATTGGTTTTGTATAATTTTATGTACATCGAATATTAATGATATTCTTAATTCAATGGAGTCACTAATAAATTATAATTGTTAATGAGAAGTCATTTGTCCGTTTTGGTCTAGACTGATGGGTTTGGTTGGCGTTAAATGTCATTTAATGGTACTGTTATATCATTATTAACTGTCGATGTCGTGGTCAACGCAACACTTGAAATGCCTACATTTTGCTGGTTTATTTGAAACCAATGTAACAATGGCCATCGTATCTCGATCGTATATCAAAGTACTAAATTGATCGCCTTACCTAATAAACTTACTTAATATGTTCTTATATTTAAATATTAGCTGTACTCGCCATTTCGTCTGCGTGGAATTTAACTTTTATATATTATTTTTCTAAAATAAAAGTAGCTTAAATTACTCCGTATTACATCAGCTACCTGCCAAAAAAAGTCCCGTCAAAATCAGTCCAGCTATTTCAGATTAGCCCGAACACATAGACAGACAGACAGACAGACAGACAAGAATAATAAAAAATGTTATTTTGGTTACATACGTATTTATGTTCATATGCATGTAGTAAAAAATCGTTATTTCAATATTACAAACAGACATTCCAATTTTATTTATATGTATAGACGTATATCCTCACAACCAAGTATTAAATTTGTAAAATTGTATGGATAAGGTGTGCACACCCATAATATTTTTTTTATAATAAAGCTTAAAAATACCGTAAATTAAATGACATTTGACACGTGTGTGCTAAATGTTATTTAATTAATTAAATGTACATTTAGTCTTTGACAGTAGAATCTTTATTACGTATACAACTAAAATTTTAAAATATTATAATATAATTTCGATCTCTGTGTGACAGAACAAGAGAAATAAAAAGAAATGCATCTTAATCAGATATTATATAATGATATACATAAATTTTATATTTTCATAATAGTGAAGTTAATAAGAAAAATGTTAGAATTTTATTAGTCTGTATTTTTAACTAAAAATAATAACGTACTATTTATGTTGTCTGTATTTACTTTATCTATGATTTTTTTGTATAAGTAGAATTGTTAACAATTATATAAAGTTTAATTCCATACAAACTTATAAAAGTAATAGTGTATTAATGTATATCTCTGTTTGATATTTCATTGATAGAAACACCATTAACAAACCAAAATAAATCGAGGAAAAGTCGGTAGGCTCGCCCTCTACCACTTTCTATTTAAATGTATTCAGGAAAATGTAGCAATATCAAGTGTTGCAGTCACCACGTCATCGAGACAGTTGACAATACTTCTGACTACCCCGTTCAACCCTATAGACACATGCTTAAGCACAAAACCTTACTTTGCATCACGTACACAAGCGAAGCATCCAGTAACAAAGTTTTTATTAAACATAGTTATTTAAGTACGTACAAGTATATATTTCCACAACTTTCAGCAAAAAAAAAAAACTTTTTTATGATTGTCGATAGATAGCTGGAGGAGATAAAAACTATCGAGAACTACCTTAGAATATCCTTCAATTCTTGTCCAAGATGAGAAGAAAAAGGGCGTGCACAATAGAATAAAAAGAATATTGATGGATGGATGTTTGTGACTTTTTCACGCAAAAGCTACTTAAGGGATTTTGATGAAACTTTACAGTCATCATCATTGTCTTGCCTTTATCCCATTATTTGGGGTCGGCGCAGTATGTCATTCTCTTCCACTGCTCTCTATCAGTCGTCATATCTAAACATACTCTTCTTTTATTCATATCATGTTTCACACAATCCATCCATCTTTTCTTAGGGCGTCCCTTCCTTTTACATCTTTATATTGATGAAACTTTACAGTAATATAGCTTATACAACAGAATAACGTATAAGCTGTAAACTTCATGCGGACGAAACCGCGGCCACAGTTAGTTTCTCAATAATTTTGAAAAGTTCACACAGTTAAACATTACTTGCGAAAGTATTTTGTATGTTTGCGTGTTTAGTGTGCATATTTTGCTGTATAACTTGTGTGAAAAACGACTATGACGAGTCATTTTTTGGAACACTTTACTACTTTGTTAGTTCATTGCCGACTTTTAGTTTTGTATTTACAGTAAAGTTTAATAAGAGTTCTCAATTTAATAGAATTTTCTTTGTATTTTATGTGATATCTACGTAACTCTGGGTGAGATATTAATTATATTGTTTTTTAACATCGAGAGGTTTTACGCTTGTGTTGATCTCCTAAACTAAATGTTACGTAAGGTACGTACCTCATATAATTGTCACTTTGGCCTTCAGATGGTTACCTTTGACTATATTGCTGGTGAATAATTTTCAAAATTTAACGTAGCACTATATTCTAGAATTATTGCAATAAGAAACTACTTATTCTAAAAAAAATCTTATATTAATACACACAAAAAACTTGTTACATATTTTTAATAAGCACAATGACGATCTTGGTGATCTAGCGGCTTTGCGCATTGCCTTACATCCGATGGTAGCGGGTTCGATTACTCGCTCATGCAAGTTGTATCATTACAAACATTTGTATTTATGAGTATGATTGTGTATATCGGTGTTTTCTATGTATATTCTATATGTATTTACGAATAAATGTATTTATTTAGTTGTCTAATACCCACAACACAAGATCTGCTTAGCTTGCTTAGCATCTAGTCTCACTAGATGGCGCTGTGTGAATTGTCCTGCGATGATTATTATTATTATACATTTCAGTGTTTTTTACCGACATTTTAAGTTAAATATGTAAATAAACACACATTTGCGTATTCAAACAAACAAGATGGTAAACAGTAGTTATCTTGTCTCTATGTTTACATAAACGAGTGATAATTACACGATTACACTTCAATATGTTATTAATAATGTTTATTATATCATATAATGTATATAACATATAATACTATATGTATTTATATAT